TCAAGGTTCCGCACTTAGTCCTTATCTTTTCACTATCGTGATGGACGAGCTGACAAGAGAAATTCAAGATGGGATTCTTGGTGTATGCTTTTTGTAGACGATATAGTTTTAGTTGATGAACATCGGGAGAGAATTAACCATAAGTTAGAACTATGGAGACAGACCTTTGAGACGAAGGGATTTACGTTAAGTAGAACAAAGACTGAGTACATGAATGTAGGTTTAGTAATTTGAGAGATTAGAGTGATGGAATTTCTTTGGATGGTGTGGTGATTGAGGCTTCTAGGAAATTTAGGTACCTTGGGTCCATAGTGCAGTGTGAAGGGGATATAGATGAGGATATTGGACATAGGATTAAGGCGGGGTGGGTTAAGTTGAAGAATGCCATAGGAGTTTTATGTGATGATAAGATGCCTATTAAGTTAAAAGGAAAATTCTATGGGACAGCAATTCGCCCAGCTATGTTATATGGTAGTGAATGTTGGGCCATCAAGAGACAACAAATATACAAGATGAGTGTGGCGAAAATGCATATGTTAAGATGGATGAGTGGCCATACGAGGATAGATCGCATACGGAATGAAGTTATTCGTAGTAAAGTAGGTGTAGCACCAATAGAAGATAAGGTGTGGGAAAACCGTCTGAGGTGGTACGGGCATGTACAACGTAGATCGTTAAGTGCACCTATTCGTGCTTGGGAGAACATCCAAATACCTAGTACTAAGAGAGCGAGAGGTAGACCAAGAATTACTTGGGCTGACGTAGTTAGGCATGACTTTTAAGATCTAGGGCTTTAGGAGGGTCTCGTGTTTAATAGAGCAGACTGGAAACGAGAAATCCATATAGCCGACCCCAATTAATTTGAGATTAAGGCTTGTATTTGTTGTTGTTGTTGTGTCTATTCCCTTAGATGATGAGGTAAAATCGAGCACATATGGTTATACTTTAAGGTTGAACCTATTTAGTTGGATAGCTCTTCTAATATTGATTTGTTTTAGCTAATCAGTTTTGACATAATCTTTGAGTAGCGTATGGGAATAAGCTAGGTTCTCGATTATATCTTCATTATCTTGCATTGAACAAATTGGAAAATCTTTCAGGTTATTACACTCGTAAACTTTTAAAACTACTGATGAACTCACTTAATTAGCAAGTGCTCCCGATTACTCGGTCTCGTCAAATTCCTATTTCCATTTTTTGGAGCAGAGATGAGGACGATTTTCTTTACATGATATAAATGGTTTTTCCTAATTTTTGATAGTTTAGTTGGTAAACTTGATTTTTGCCTCATTTCAACTTTATGTTTTTGTTTTCATCATAGAATTATTATCATGGGAGGTAAAAGATATAGATTTCTCAAGCAGAAATGTTGAGGGGCTCTGAGAGCCCCCAGCTTTGCCATTGATCTCCCATCACAGTATGGGGCCCACCTCATATTCAAATGCGAATCTGGGGTTTCGCAGTTTGCCCTAGTTGTGCTCTTTCTTAAGGCTTTCAGTCTTTTTATGGGATGGGTAATGGAGGGAATTCATGTTCCATTTGGCTCGAGAATAGGAAAAGGAGAAGGATGAAAACAAAGGAATCATATTAGAAATGACCATCAGTAACTTTGTCCTAGAGTATAACTATTGATAAATATATAAATTCTAATAAGAGAAGTTTGACTTCGAACATCATTGTGTAGCACCAATTACTTCATAATTAGTGGTTGCACTACTACACTAAACTGATGCTAGGAATCAGTCACACAATTTAGTATTGCTCATTCCAACTATAAATGAAAAGGCTAGGAGGTTCCACGACCCTCCATCTTTGAAAGATGCAAGATGCGTCCAACGCATGCCATGCTGGGGCTCATTGCCCCCTAGAATCACTTACTATGAATTGGTAATGAAGAATTGACTTTCACCATGTATTTGAGTCGCCTAGATTTGTTATGTGCATGCTTGGTGTTGACTGAAGTCTTACGGTTTTGTGTTGATATCACTAGATTAGGCACCACTGTCTTGTATAACATTACTAGAAAAGAAACAAATTGTGAGTTCGGGAAAAAAATTTGATTAGCTTTCACGACAATGATGGATAATTTGTCATTAAACTTTATTTTTCTACTATTAGAGAATTTCCTTTTCTACGAGATTATTGTAGTCTTGTGATCAACCAAGAGCTTATTTCCATCAAGAGGCTCCTTATGTCACTTTCTTTCTAGGGTTTGTAAGTTCCATTCTATGACGGTTAGGCATTGTAAACTTGTTTTTATTGAATTCTGGTTGTTACTTGCCTTGTTATGTTTCTACTGCTTTTGTGCTACAAAAATTAAGTAGAGTAAATATTGTATTCATTACTGATTCTTACATGTTCGTTACCTTCTTTAATTGGATTAATCTAGATATTCCAAGCCCCAAAAAGAAAAATGATTGGTCGAGAGATAAGTAAATTAGTTATCACGTGTTGATTAGTTTGATCACATATGGACATTATGACACTTATTGGACAATATTTATAGTCGCTTTTGTGGAAAATTATTAGGTATTTGATCTACTAGGCTTAGCTCCTGTATTAGATGAATGGATATGCAATGTAAAAATTTCCTGAAATGTTTTCTACAGCACTTGATCCTCAGACGCTCTTGTATTACTTTGATATATCTATTCCAAGTTGTGGAAATTTATATTTATCAAGCATAAACTTTGGTTGAGAAAATAATCACGTTTTATCTTAAAGATGGTGTTCTTATCATCCTTATGACGTGTTTGCTATATCTCGATGTCTTCTAGAGTAGAACTTATATTTTGAGAGGAATCTCTAGAAGCTATTGCACTGAGGCTTGAGACGCTACAGAAAAATGATATAAATATTTTACTTGACTAACGTTACTTTCTCGAAGCCAATAATTGCTATATCTGTCACATGGTTAGGCGAACAAGCTTGAAAGTGCATCTTAAACTCGATTACTTGTCTGTTTCTTCTCCTTGGTTTCAAGTAACTGACTCTTCTTAGATAAACCCAGTTCTGCTTTTGAGAATGGAACCTTTTGTAGCAAATTTCACTCAGATTCTGATGGCTGGAGAGATTGTCTTATTTGTGGAAAGGTTAGCTGCAAACTGCCATCTTTTTCATTTTGTACATTGGTTCTGTTCTTTGATCAATGATATTTAAATTTACAGGGAGTACCTAAAATTATATGTATCTTGTTAATTCATCAATGGTTTATTACTTTATTTTTTTGAATACATTGATAGTAAGTTCTCCTTTTCAGATGATTCATTGTGGATGTATTATGTCATACCACATGTATGAAACTTTAGATTTTGGAGGTGTTGGCTGCACAGGGTGTGCAATGGAATCAACTATTCTGGTAAGAATCAATAGTTTGCTTTTTTAAGTTTTCCATAATCAGTAATAATTTCCTATTTTTCACTTGTTCTGAATCTGATCTAACATTGTTCTCTATTGTTTACCATGGAATTGAAAATGATTTCAATGATGTTTCCTCAGTACTTGATCTGGTTGCATTGTCGACCTGTGACAACTTTCAACTCTACCAGCAACCTTGTTGGAATTTGGAAACACAAATTTATTATTTGTTTTCTATAGATCTTTATTAAAATTCCGCTCCATAAAGAGTCGAGTATCTTTGGTGCCAAGCTTGATTATTGACTTTGTTAAAGCATTAAAGTTTCTTGCATGTGTTAGAATAACATTACATATATGTATATATAGGCTATAGGGTTATAGGGTTTTGAGCCTTATTAGGAAATTTGATTCTCTACGACTCAACGCCTATTTCATTCTATGTTTGCTCTCTGTAGTATATAAATATAAGATAAAGGCTTTGCTTGCTCTTAGCCATCTTGCTAAGGAAGGGCGGCTAGGTCTAGTCTAGTTTTCTCATCTTCTTTAAGCCTCTCACTTCTTAATCTTAAGATTTCACATTTTGGAAGGCTACGGCCTTGCATACTTTCATCGAATCTTGAATATTGATTGGTGCCAGGAGAGGAACCTTTCAATTTGATTCCTTTGGATGCGGGGAAGATCAAGGTATGGAAATAAGACAACCTTAAGATTTTAAATTTTGGAAGGCGACTGCCTTTCATATTTCATCAAATCTTGAATAGAGAGAGGGCATTCCTTTTGGTGCGAAGAGGGGTGAAGGCATGGAAATAAAAGAATGAAAAAGTCAATGGTCAGATGCTTTGTGCCATGTCACCAAGGCGGTAACATTTACCATCAAAGGATTCCTACATTCATTTTTATGTATTGCAAAATTTTGATTATGACTCCGCTTGCTCAGTAGCTGTATCTCATTGAATATTTTACCAATTCCATGGTTTTTATTATCTTTCATAATCAAAACTTCAATGCTTTAATGGATAAAATAGGACACAAGAGTACATCTACAAATATATTTATTTTGATCTGTATTTTTTATAAATTTTCATTGCATCTGTTCATTTTATTATATTCTTAATTTATTATGAATTTTAGGTTTTTGTTTTGATTTTTCTGTACAATTTGACCTATTTATTATTGTTTATTAGGATTCTGACTGTATCTATACATTATATTTTATATATATCTGTGTATTTGAGTATCTTCTTACAACCTTTTTGAGTTTCCTGGTTATCTGCTTTGTATCACTTTTGTCATTTAGTTATTATTTTTTAATATAATTTTTTCTTTGTTGCACAAAAGCAAAGTGTATAAGCTTTAAGCTCTTTAGGATCCTTTAAATATCATCATTCTAGTCGAGTCAAAGCACCTAGCGGAACTTGATCACTTAACCTGGATAACAAGATAACAACTAAGGTGTCAATTACATTCGAAAGTAATTATAATTGTTTAGAGTTATTAGTGGTATAGACAACTAATGGTATTAAAAGTGGCAGCATAATGATTCAGTATCTTCAGAGTTCAACATCCAGATTTGCATTAACGTATTCGTTTTCCTATTAGAAAGGAAACTATTCATTCAACATTAATTCATTTCTCTAGTCATTTCTTATTCTTTTTTAGTCTGTGACTACTTTATAGTAAATTTAGCTCATACAATATTAACGTACAATTAGTTGGAAATTATTGTATATCAGGTAGCAAATCAATATTGGTTCTTCACAAGTACTACCTCAGAGTTTTCTCGGGATTTGTCGATTTGAGGAATTCCACAGAAGCTGAACGCCCTGTTGACTCTGGCAAAATGATATTTGGTTAGTATTTCACTTAGCGATCTTCAATCTGTGTTTATATTGGATAATTCTCCCATTAAAAAGTGGTTTTCTAAAGGGAAAGTGCATTTTCTTAAAATTGAAAATACAAGGGTAGAAGAGGAGTATGAAGTAGAAGGAAAATTTTGGTAAGAGATGTATTGAAAATTACAGTCTTTGCTTTTTGTCAAATTGCTTTATTTAATCTATTAACGGCCTCAAAAGATAAACGTATTCAAAATTTGCTAGGTTGTTGTACTCTTCTGTCAGATAACAAGAAACCAAGAAGAGAGTTTGTTAATCTATCATTCAACATTCTTCTCCTAACCGGCCCCAATGAAGACTTATTTTGGTTCTGTAGTACTGTCTTAATTATTGACTCTTTTTTTTTTTTTTTTTCCATTTAGTAGAAGTCATTTCTAAGTCTAGACAAGTATTACAGGAATAAGGGTATCATCAGATTCTTCCATTAATTGTTGCCTAATAAGACAACTTATATTACAGGAGTAAGGTTATCATCTAATTCTTCCATTCCCCGTCTGTTGCCTAATGAGACAACTCATCAGCCTGTTTCTATTGGACCATCATCTCATGCACAATCCCCTGTGGCTCAGCTTGGAGAACAGAATAAAAGTTCACTTAATGGAGCAGATACAACAACTGACAAACAAGCATCTGTTTCATCTGTTTTGTCTGGGCCACCTTCTCAACAACAATCTCCTTCGGCTCATTTTAAAGAGCAAAATGGAAATTCGCCGAATGGAGCGGGAACACTAGGGGACCCTTTTCTAGCCAATCAAACATCTCTCGAGTCTAATGTCCCAAGAATGCCATCTCAAATACCATCTTCTGCGCCTCAGTTAGAAGAGCAGAATAGAAATTCACTAAATGGTGCACAAACACCAGTCGACCCTTTTGTTGGCAATCAAACATCTCAAGGGGAAACCTCAGAAAATTTGCCCGAGATAACTGATTCCGAGCTGCCAAAAACTCCCGGAGAGTATCCTCTTTATTGTCCGTTTTAATGTACTTTTCCTTAAATGTTTAAAGAAGGAATTCAATAGATGTTATGCCTACTTTTATTCGTGGTTTTTGTTTATATTTGATTTCACTTCCAATAGAAGACTGTCATAGTATGAAATCTTGTGGAAGCTCTTATCTGACTTGGAATGGATACCTTGACTTATCTAAGCTCAAATTCCTTTTTGGTTCTTCTATTTGAGAAGTTTTTAAGTGCTAGTGATGCTGATCGCAAGTTAGCACGTCTGGTGCTGCCTAAGCTATGTGCAGAGGTGAGTCCAAGGACGCAAATTTAAGATTTCAAATCGTTTATAATTTACTTAAATTTTATTTGTACTGAAAGATAATTATTCTTGATGTTTTGGTCTATGCTACTGCAACATGATGATTAACTTTTGCTGTCCAACAAAGACTTTGCTATCTTATTTCAAAAGATGAATGCATCATACCCTGTGTTACTTCTCATCATTGCATTCCTGTCTCGACCATTTCTTTGGTTTTGCATTGCTTTTATCTGCATAGTAAGCAATTTTATTCATTGCCATTCTTGGAACATTTCAGAATTGTTCTCTAATTCTATAAAGTATGGTAAAACATATTTGAGGTTGAAAAAAAAACTTTAACTATTAAGTCATACCAGTTATTTTCTTGATTTATAGAGATCAAAACACTCTTTATCATGCATATCACAAGTAAATTATGAACCTTTTAACATTATGAGGCAGACAGTTTTTTTTAAACAATATTCCTCCTCAAAAGAACGAGGGAAGTGAAAATAAGATTACTCCCTTAAAATCTTTTTGTAATTCTTCCATTGAGTAATAACTGCAGAATATATCATTTTGTTTTTCCCAGTGAAGGTTTGGAAATCAACTGTATATTTCTATTTAGACTGGAAATTTGTTAATTAAGTACCCATAATGAAGTAGGTCTATTTTCTGTTTACTCCCGATGGACAACGATTCCCCATTGAAGTCCAGGATACAACAGGCAAGGACTGGAAATTTTACTTCCGTGTTTGGAGAAATGGTCACGGCAGGATGTATGTACTTGAAGGACTAAGGAAATACATGGCCTTAATGGACTGGAAAGCTGGTGACAAAGGTAATTACGTACCTCATCATACAACTAAGCTTGGGAATCCATATAGCTTTTAGTTGATTGTTTTCTAATCATCTTTTGTTAACTTTTTCTGTAGCCTACCTCGGGCTAAACTCAACTAGTAATTTTTGTATGACTGCACGGTGTATATAACTGAATTTTCTGCTTCTTTTACACTCATAGCAATTTATAGTTGAATTTTCTTCTGATTCGATTCAATTTTTTGAGTGACGCTAGAGTCACTTGAGTTCTTCCGTTTTCTCAACAGTGTCAGCGATACTATAGTTATTTCATATTATCGATGATATGACCTCAACATCACTTGAGTTCTTTCCGCATAAATATTGCTTTACTCTTTCTTCCTGAAGACATCTTCATGTCTTAAATGAGCTATAATTCCTATTCATGAACATATGGTATTCTAGTTTTTTGACCAAGAATTTTTGCATCTTTTCAGTAGCATTTTATCACATGGGATCAGAAGGAAAGTATGTTATTGAAACTAAAAAAGTTTCAAGAGATTCAGGCACCTGTTGAGGTACATTGCCATAATGGTGATCTGCATTTGCATTTGGGTCTTGAAAATCTGCTTAACACTAGGACTCTTTTTGCATTAAGATTACTTCACTATCCTTAATTTTATGCTTTATTCCAGATGTCATACCTATGTCCCAAAACAAGTTATTAAATTCTTGGGCCATGTAGCCTGTGCTTCCTTGGATGCTGTGGAGGTTTGTTATACACATTCTGCAACCAATCAAGGTCCCAGTGGTGACGAAAACCAATCTTTGTATTTACTAGACTTTTTTTTTTCTTCTTTCTTTACAAGACTTTCAGAGTTTGGAAGGCACAATAAGTTTGACATTAAGTAATTTTCTAGTTTCTTCCGTAAAGAAAACTTAATTTTGTTATTCCAGTAGCATAGTAATATGAACATACAAGATAAAGGGAGAAATGAACAGCAACAGAAAGGCAACTAAGTATTTTGAGGTAGTTTAAATTAATGCATAACTTGCATATATGAAGAGTCCATTTTCATATTATTTTGATTAGTGGATCGTCAGGTTATGCTCTTTACTGTGATGGTGGAATTACTGCTCAGAAACTCATGGGACCTTATAGTTCTTACAACGTAGTTGTTGTAGTACAAAACCTCAGTTAGGCTTGAAAACATATATGGTTAGGATTGCTGGGTTATTAATAGTTTTCTGATCGCACATCATCATGGTCTGCAAATTATGGTTCATTGTTCAACGGGAACTTGAAGCATGTTTTTCAATAGTTAATTATCTTAGATCAGACGACAGGTGACACTAAGGTGAATTTGTAGATGATAAAAGAAATCTTATTGAGGAATCACAAAATGTTTTTTTTACTTTTTACGTTAAGCTTTCATGACTATAAGTTATAGATAAGGCGAACTCTAGTGTGGGCTAAAAGATGACTAATTAAACCCTTCGTCAAAATAACAATTGTCGGCACTAGATATTGCAAAAGGAACAATTTGTTTAGCTTTATTTAGGTACATCCTACAAGTTCGTGTCATCAAACTGATGTCTCATCAGGCGCCTGAAGTATAAATTAAAAAAAATGAAAATTGTTACATTAAGAATGATCTAAAATGAGAAGTAGATCTTAGTTTTTCTTTTTCTTTTTCTTTTTTTTTTTTATATATAACACGGGATTGAACTCACAATCCCCCACTTAAACTCCACCCCATCCAAACCCCCTAATACTACTAGACCAAGAGGTCTTAGGCGACTTCATAAAGGATCCTAGTTTTTCCTTTTAAATCCATCTTTTTCTGCCCTTTTATCCCATTGAAATATCTCATGTGATGATGAAGGAATTACCAGCGCAATTTATGCGCTATTGGTATCACATCCTATGAGCAAATGTGAGAGATATGAAAGTATTATCTTTTCTGCACAATTGTGAGGTTTTACAGAGTACATATAAATACAGAAACTAAAAGACTATTCTAGGAAAGTACATAAACGCAAATCCCCCTAACTAATTACCCTTTATTCTAGTTTGACTAAATCTTCTTATTTACAGCCTATAATAAACTTCCTATTTACAGCCCTACGATTTGGTACATTTACTACCGAATATTATATTTCCAACACATCCCAACTTGCAGCTAGAGGCCATAATTTACAATGGTCAATAAACTTGCGCCTCGAGTTTGAGAGGTGCATGAGGAGATAATGGGTTGGCTAGTTGTTGGCATTGTTATCAGCATTTCTGCAAAGTGTATTTCAAATCAGAGAGTTCGTTTCATGGATTGTTTGTATGTTGTGAAGATCTTGTTTGTTACCTTATCCATTTCAGTCCCTACAAAAATTGTTTAATACTTACTAAAATGCTTGTAGACTTGGGGGGAAAGTAGGAATGAGAATCCAATAACATCACTAAACAGATGGATGATTTTCACTAATACATTCAATTATTTAAACATCCTTGCTGTTTTTCCATTCTCCTTCATATGCATCCGTATGAGGTAGCTATTATCCGAGTTTATACTAGGTTGGGAGTGTTGGTTACATGGACTAATTGAGAACAAAAAAGTCAATAGCATGTACTCATTAATCATAAAACATGAAGCACAACTACCAGATGTCCAAACGGTTAGCCCGCTTCTAGGTGAAGGAAGGATCAAGCAAATAAAAAGACAAAAGTAAAAGACAACTAGAATCTTGAAAATGTTGAGTCTCCTTAATTAATGCTTTTGACTTGCTTAAATCCAGATTGGGTTAGTGTGTGTGTGTGTATATATATATATATATATATATAGAGAGAGAGAGAGAGAGAGAGAGAGAGAGAGAGAGAGAGAGAGAGATTATTATGACTTATAGGAGAATACCGGGGACAGAAAGAGAGAATAGCTCTCTGTTTTTTCTTATTATTCCAGAAAATAGAACACATTTAAATAGAAATAGAGAATACACGGTAAAACCCTAGGATCCCACATAATCAGGGATTTTATTCTAATCTTTGATTCTTTCCTAATTTATTCAAAAATCAAATCCTAACTTCACAATCTTGATTTGCCGACACTCCCCCTCAAGTTGGTGCAAATATATCAACCATGCCCAACTTGCTCACTTGAAGTTCGAATGGCTGTCTCAACAGGCCCTTAGTCAAAACGTCTGCCACTTGCTGTGTAGTGGGTACAAATGGAGTACAAATTATTCCCTCTTCTAGCTTTTCTTTTATAAAGTGTCTATCAATCTCAACGTGTTTCGTCCTGTCATGTAGGACAGGATTGTGAGCAATACTGATTGCTGCTTTGTTGTCACAATACAGTTTCATAGGAAAACTTATTGGTCGCTTAAGTTCTTCCAAAACCTTTCTTAGCCAAAGAACCTCACACACTCCTTGAGCCATTGATCTAAATTTTGCCTCAGCGCTGCTTCTAGCGACTACACTTTGCTTCTTGCTTCTCCAAGTAACTAAATTGCCCCAAAGGAATGTACAATAGCCTGATGTTGACCTTCTGTCAGTGACCGAACCAGCCTAATCAGCATCTGTATACACCTCAATTCCTCTCTTCTCATTTTTCTTGAAGAAGAGTCCTTTCCCGGGTGTGCCTTTTAGATAACGAAGAATTCGATACACAGCTTCCAGACGTTCTTCATATGGGGAATGCATAAACTGGTTCACCATGCTCACAGCGAAAGCGATGTCGGGTCGTGTATGTGACAAGTAGATCAATCTCCCAACCAATCGTTGGTATCTCCCTGTGTCTACTGGGACGCCATCTTTTACATCTCCGAGTTTAACATTAGCTTCTATCGGAGTATCTGAAGGTTTGCAGCCACTCATTCCAGTTTCTTTCAGAAGATCTAGAATATACTTCCGCTGCGATACTACAATGCCCTTTTTCGATCTTGCCACTTCCATTCCAAGGAAGTATTTTAGCTGGCCTAGATCTTTGATTTCAAATTCCTTGGCTAGGTTCTGATTTAGTCTACTCATCTCTTCTAAATCATCTCCAGTCAGAATAATATCATCCACATAGACAATCAAGACAGACATCTTGTCTTTGGTAGACCTCTTTGTAAAGAGGGTGTGATCCGATTGTCCCTGTGTGTATCCTTGGTTCTTAACAAACTTTGTAAATCTCTCAAACCAAGCTCTGGGAGACTGTTTAAGACCATATAGAGACCTCTTTAGTTTGCACACCTTGGCTCCAAAATTCTCAATGAAGCCCGGTGGGGGTTCCATGTAGACTTCTTCCTCTAAGTCTCCATTCAAAAATGCATTCTTCACATCCAGTTGATTCAGAGGCCAATCAAGATTAGCAGCAACAGATAAGAGTACCCGAACTGTGTTTAGTTTCGCCACTGGAGAGAAAGTCTCTGAGTAGTCCACTCCATATGTTTGAGTGAAGCCTTTAGCCACCAGGCGAGCCTTGTATCTTTCCAAGGATCCATCTGAGTTGTACTTGACAGTAAAAAACCCATTTACAGCCAACAACTGTCTTCCCATCTAGTAGATCCACTTTTTCCCAAGTAGCATTCTTCTCCAGAGCTCTCATCTCCTCGAGGATTGCTTCTTTCCACTCCGGAACATTTAGAGCCTCCTGGACACTATTAGGAATAACCACACTAGACACTTGTGAAATAAAGGCACAATATGAGGGTGAAATATTTTTGTAAGACACAAAATTCGGCAATGGATGTTTTGTACAAGTCCTAACACTTTTCCTAAGAGCAATGGGAAGATCAAGTTGACTAGAATGGTTTGACTCAGAATTACCTGGAGGATTATGCTCAGGAATTATTGACGAATCATCCTGAATGTCATGATCTAACCTTTGATTAGACTCTTGGTGGTACTGTGGGATAGTGCCTCTTCTATTCTGCGCTTGATACTCCTTTGAATAAACAAGACCTTTAAACCGTTTCGCACACATCTCTGTTGTTT